GGAAGCTGTCCAGACAGTAAGTTATACGAGAGGTCAAGAAAATCCCAATAGCAACTAGTTTCATTGCATAAATTGGTAATTGACCCAGAAAACTCATTACTCGACAAATCCACTAGAGATCCATTCAGAGGTAAAATTGGTAATGAACCATTAAAATGATTAAAGCTCAGATCTATGAATTCAAAAAGAGAGAACCTTGACGACAAATCAGGAAGGACACCATGAAAATTGTTATGTGATACATTTAAATTCCGTAGTTTTGGACTTGACTTCCAAAACCAATCGGGGAAGGTGTCTGAAATTTCAGCATTAGAGATATCAAGATACTCTAATCTCTTTTGTGTTCTAAGCCATGCGGGGAAATGTGGACCCACTTTGCAACCTGATAAAAATACATATATCAGTTGAAAAGGAGGATTCCATCCTGAACTGATATTGAACGAGATACCTTGGTTGTAAGACAAGTCCAACATTAGTAAATGGGAAAGATTAAAGAAAAGTGATTCAGTGATTATGTCTTCAAAGTTGTTTGAATTAAGAGAGAGACGTCGGAGTTTGGAAAGGCTTCCTATGCATCGGGTCACGGTACCAGTAAACATATTGTAAGAAAGATCCAAGTAATCCAACGAGGAAGGTAATGCAAGATGAGGCACTTCCCCTGTGAATTGGTTATTAAATAAATCTAAACCAGCTAAACTAGTCATATTCCTCAAGGATACTGGAATCTCACCTTGCAATTTGTTGGAAAAGAGGCCAAGGAAATGAAGGCTACTGCTTAAGTTAAACACCAAAGGAAATATCCAAGAAGAAGAGAACTCATTTCCCGAGAGTATAATGAAAGAAAGAGAATTAGAAGCATTGAAAGGTGAGGGAGGAAGTACCATTGACAGGTTACATGAATATAATTCTAAAAGTTGGAGCTTAGTAAGCTTAGTTATTGTTTGTAACCAATCGGTTGCCATTGTGAGGTTAACATAGTAAAATGACAGGTCATTTAATGAATTAAGTCGAGAAAGCCAATCAAGACTTGTGCTAGTTAGTGAACCATCATTAGATGAGCCAAGACTCAGAGAATTCAATTCAGAAAGGTTGCCAAGATGATGAGGAATTTCCCCACTAAAATCATTGTAACTGAGGTCTAGATATTTCAAGTGTTGTATTTCAAGCAAGGAGATGCTAAAGTTACCTCTTAAAGACATACCAAGGAGGTTCAACTCAACAATATGATTAGTTTGATTATCACAAGTGACACCCCTCCATTTGCAGCAATCCTTCTTATATTTTTCACTTCCCCAAGAAGAGAGTTTGCCGTATTCATCAATAAGCTCATCTTTGAACTTGAGAAGAGCTTCTCTCTCCTTCTCTAAGCACTTGATACCAACTTCCGTCCCTGTAGAGTGCTCAAAAGTGGCTCTCCAGCTCAGAAATAGCACAATGACTAACAACTGGAGATGCTGAAAGAATTTTTGACCAACTATCATTTTGTGAACAATTGTAAACAAGACTTTTTTGATATTCTTTTTCGAATTTTCACCATTTAAGCTGCACTACTTATAGCATCAATTGCAATAATGAATTTGGGTAGAAAGCTACCGGAAAGACTATCCAAATCAGCAATATTAACTCCTTTGAAAAAGCCCCCGTTTGACAAGCATTAAAAAGATTTTTATTTTTGTTGGAGAAAATGAGATTTTAAATAATGATTTCAAGTCCTTCTCTAAATAAGCCAATGTGCTGAATATAATATTTAAACCTCTATTTAATGTCAACTATTAATTTCAACTATTTTATGGATCCACAACTTTTTA